AGAAGAAGGAGAAGGAGAAGGATGAGAAGAAGGAGAAGGAGAAGGATGAGAAGAAGGAGAAGGAGAAGGATGAGAGAAGGAGAAAGAGAAGGATGAGAAGAAGGATGAGAAGAAGGATGAGAAAAGGAGAAGGAGAAGGATGAGAAGAAGGAGAAGGATGAGAAGAAGGAGAAGGAGAAGGATGAGAAGAAGGAGAAGGATGAGAAGAAGGAGAAGGATGAGAAGAAGAATGAGAAGAAGGATGAGAAGAAGGAGAAGGATGGAAGAAGGATGAGAAGAAGGAGAAGGATGAGAAGAAGAAGGATGAGAAGAAGAAGAAGGATGAGAAGAAGGAGAAGGATGAGAGAAGAAGAGCAGGATGAGAAAAGTGATGAGAAGAAGGAAGATGGATGAGAAGAAGGATGAGAAGAAAGGAGAAGGATGAGAAGAAGGAGAAGGAGAAGGAGAAGGATGAGAAGAAGGAGAAGGAGAAGGATGAAGAGATGGAGAAGGATGAGAAGAAGGAGAAGGAGAAGGATGAGAAGAGGAGGAACCGCTGTATGAGCTCCTCTATTCAGCCGGCAAAAAGTGTACTGCAGAGCTCCTCTATTCTGCAGATACACTAGAGGAGCTCTGCAGATACACTTTTTGCCGGCTTGGAATTCTTCTGTATTTTCATCCTATTCTTCATCCTCATCATCTTCATCCTTTCTTCTTCTGAGGATGAGGATGAAGAAGAAGAAGAAGAAGAAAGTAGGATGAAAATAAGAATAACTTTCCAAACCGGCAAAAAGTGTATCTGCAGAGTTCCTCTATTTCTGACAGTTCTCTGACTTTCACATTTACAGCGGTTGAAACATTGTATCTGTTTCCGAATAAAAACATCTGTATCCTAAATGGAAACAAATAGATACAATGTTTCAACCGCTGTACATGTGAAGGAACTGTCAGAGAACTGTCAGAAATAGCGGAGCTCTCTGCAGGGACACTTTTGCCGGCTGATCGGGAAAAATCCGATTCGCGCACCCGAAGTAGGCTAATATTCGGATTCAACGCGAATCGAATTTTTCCTGAAATTCGAATCGAATTCCACTTCGCCTGGTTCGATTCGCTTATCTCTAATTGATACCCTATAACCCTGAAAAAGTAAAATAATGGGGAAGGATGAGGCAGCTTTTTTTTTTTTGTTCAGGAAAAATGAACAGGAAAATCTGTGTGAAATAATTGTGTTAAGTAAACAATAAAAAAAAATCAAATGGGACTTTACTGGTACAGAAAACGGACAACCTCATATTATTGTATTAAACATGTTTATTGAAACATATCTTCTTGTTTTTAAAGTTTGTCTTAAAATATATTTTTAATGTGACTTTTTTATATTTGCTGGCTTGTTGTATAAATATATAGACTCTCCCAGTTAGCTAAAAAGTCATCTTGATAAACTTTATATGTTTTCTCATTGTGGATGTGGATGGCTTGATTTTGGTCCAAAGATTATTTCATCTCTAGCTGTGTCTGCTTCTTATGGGCACTATGGGGTTTATTTACTAAAGCTGGAGAGTCCAAAATCAGACTCCCTTCTGCATAGAAACCAATCAGCTTCTAACCTCAGCTTGTTCAATGAAGCTTTGGCAATGAAACCTGGAAGCTGATTGGTTTCTATGCAGGAGGGAGTCTGATTTTGGACTCTCCAGCTTTAGTAAATAAACCCCTATATGTCCATACGCTCAGGAGCAGCTATTTAAACAAATACAGGTTAGAAAATCTGCAAGATAGAGTAGGGAGTAGCCAGAGAGGGATCACTTTAAAGCATGTTATTTATAGCAATGACTAGAGATGAGCGAAGTATTCAAAAATTCGATTCGGCTGATTCGGCGAATTTGCGGAATAAATTCGATTCGAGTCGAATATATTCGCTGCGAATTTAACTTATAAAAAGGGTGTTTCTAGGCTTCAGAGAGCCTTTATATTAGTGCAGAACACTGTACCTTTAATTTAAATGCCCTTGGAGTCTGCTGGGGAAGAGAAATAATACTGTCAGTCAGTATGACATGCAGATGAGTGCCGACGATCTTAGAATCACCGCACACTTCACTCATTTGGGCAGTCACGGGGCCAAAACCAGAGTGTGGAGCCACAGTGTGGCGGTGGAGGCAGCAGCAATGGGAGGCCATACAGCACCCTATGACAAAATGGAACCCACCAGCAGTGTGAGGAGACCTGAAAGTGGCACATGGCAGAGTGTGGCGATGGAGACAGCAGCAATGGGAGGCCGTACAGGGACCCATGACACACTCTGGACCTGGCAGCAGCATGAGGAGGCGGTACAGGGGCCCATGACAGATTACGGGCCTGGCAGCAGCATGAGGAGTCGGTACGGGGGCCCATGGCAGATTACGGGCCTGGCAGCAGCAATGGGAGGCCCGTAATCTGCCAGCACCCTATGACAAAATGGAACCCACCAGCAGTGTGAGGAGACCTGAAAGTGGCACATGGCAGAGTGTGGCGATGGAGACAGCAGCAATGGGAGGCCGTACAGGGACCCATGAGACACTCTGGACCTGGAAGCAGCATGAGGAGGCGGTACAGGGGCCCATGACAGATTACGGGCCTGGCAGCAGCATGAGGAGTCGGTACGGGGGCCCATGGCAGATTACGGGCCTGGCAGCAGCAATGGGAGGCCCGTAATCTGCCAGCACCCTATGACAAAATGGAACCCACCAGCAGTGTGAGGAGACCTGAAAGTGGCACATGGCAGAGTGTGGCGATGGAGACAGCAGCAATGGGAGGCCGTACAGGGACCCATGACACACTCTGGACCTGGCAGCAGCAAGAGGAGGCAGTACAGGGGCCCATGGCAGAGTGGCGAAGCGTAAGCAGCTTAAATTGAAGGCCATACAGAGGCCTATGTTAAAAATAATAACTTGTTTGGGGCATGATTCATGGCGGATTTAGTCAGTTGTGTCAGGAACTGGTGGTTTGAAATCCAGACTAATCCACGCCTGATTCATTTTCACAAACGTGAGTCTCTCCACACTTTGGATGGACAGTCGTGTCCTCCGCGGAGTTACAATACCTCCTGCCGCACTAAACACGTGCTCCGATGCCACGCTACTGGCCGGGCATGACAGCCTTTCAAAGGCAAATTCAGCTAGTTGGGGCCAAAGGTCAAGTTTCGTTGCCCAGTAGTCAAGGGGATTGTCTACCTCGGTTGGCAGGGTGCTGTCCAAGTAGGCCCAAGCCTGTTGTTTGAGGTCCTGCTCCAGGTCCACCTGATGCTGCTGCTGCTGCGGCTGGTTAGTAGTTTCCTCACTGCGCTGGTGAAGAAAGCTACTCATCATCTACTGCAGACTGAGGCAGCCGCTGCTGGTGGAGCTGCCACTGCTCCTACCACCCCACCCCTCCCCTCCCCTGCTGCCATGGCAGCGGAACGCGAGCGCACAGGGCCCACAGTGTCTGAGGATGGACGTTGGCGCACAAAGGCAGAGACCAACTGACTACATAGGTGGTTTTTATAGTACGTTATTTTGGCCTCCCTCTCAGCAGGTGTGAAAAAGGCCACCATTTTTGAACGGTAGCGAGGGTCCAACAAGGTGGACAGCCAAAAGTCATCCCTCTGTTGATGGTTATTATTTGGCTGTCGCTACGCAAGCAACCGAGCATGCTATGGGCCATTTGTGCCAAGGAATGCGAGGGACTCAATGCCTCCATCTCCACAGCATACTGCCACGGTGCGTCTGGGTCCTCTGTCTCCTCCTCCTCCTCTACCAGATGCTCCTGCTCCTCCACTCCTGTCCGCTGAGTGGAAAAACCACCCATTTCACTCAATAATTCCTGAGCACCAATGTCCTCCTCTACCTCCTCCTCTTCTTCCTGTCCTGCCCCCACAGGGGTCATGTGGCGTTGAGATCTGTGCGCCACGTCTACCGCACCCGGACCAGCCATTGTGAACAGCATTTGTTCCAGGACGTGCAACAGAGGAATGACGTCGTTCATCCCATAGTCCTGCCGACTCACGAATAGCGTGGCCTCCTCAAAGGGCCTGAGCAAGCGGCAGGTGTCACGCATGAGCTGCCAATGGCTGACATCTAAGTTACACAGGGGAGTACCTTTATCCGCTTGTAACATCAGGAAATCGGTGATGGCCTTTCGCTGTTCGTAAAGGCGGTCTAACATATGTAGGGTTGAATTCCACCTTGTTGCAACGTCACAACATGAGGAGTCGGTACGGGGGACCATGGCAGATTACGGGCCTGGCAGCAGCAATGGGAGGCCCGTAATCTGCCAGCACCTATGACAAAATGGAACCCACCAGCAGTGTGAGGAGACCTGAAAGTGGCACATGGCAGAGTGTGGCGATGGAGACAGCAGCAATGGGAGGCCGTACAGGGACCCATGACACACTCTGGACCTGGCAGCAGCATGAGGAGGCGGTACAGGGGCCCATGACAGATTACGGGCCTGGCAGCAGCATGAGGAGTCGGTACGGGGGCCCATGGCAGATTACGGGCCTGGCAGCAGCAATGGGAGGCCCGTAATCTGCCAGCACCCTATGACAAAATGGAACCCACCAGCAGTGTGAGGAGACGTGAAAGTGGCACATGGCAGAGTGTGGCGATGGAGACAGCAGCAATGGGAGGCCGTACAGGGACCCATGACACACTCTGGACCTGGCAGCAGCATGAGGAGGCGGTACAGGGGCCCATGACAGATTACGGGCCTGGCAGCAGCATGAGGAGTCGGTATGGGGGCCCATGGCAGATTACGGGCCTTGCAGCAGCAATGGGAGGCCCGTAATCTGCCAGCACCCTATGACAAAATGGAACCCACCAGCAGTGTGAGGAGACCTGAAAGTGGCACATGGCAGAGTGTGGCGATGGAGACAGCAGCAATGGGAGGCCGTACAGGGACCCATGACAGATTATGGGCCTGGCAGCAGCATGAGGAGGCGGTACAGGGGCCCATGACAGATTACGGGCCTGGCAGCAGCAATGGGAGGCCCGTAATCTGCCAGCACCCTATGACAAAATGGAACCCACCAGCAGTGTGAGGAGACCTGAAAGTGGCACATGGCAGAGTGTGGCGATGGAGACAGCAGCAATGGGAGGCCGTACAGGGACCCATGAGACACTCTGGACCTGGCAGCAGCATGAGGAGGCGGTACATGGGTCCATGACAGATTACGGGCCTGGCAGCAGCATGATGAGTCGGTACGGGGGCCCATGGCAGATTACGGGCCTGGCAGCAGCAATGGGAGGCCCGTAATCTGCCAGCACCCTATGACAAAATGGAACCCACCAGCAGTGTGAGGAGACCTGAAAGTGGCACATGGCAGAGTGTGGCGATGGAGACAGCAGCAATGGGAGGCCGTACAGGGACCCATGACACACTCTGGACCTGGCAGCAGCATGATGAGGCGGCGGTACGGGGGCCCATGGCAGATTACGGGCCTGGCAGCAGCAATGGGAGGCCCGTAGTCTGCCAGCACCCTATGACAAAATGGAACCCACCAGCAGTGTGAGGAGACCTGAAAGTGGCACATGGCAGAGTGTGGCGATGGAGACAGCAGCAATGGGAGGCCGTACAGGGACCCATGACACACTCTGGACCTGGCAGCAGCATGAGGAGGCGGTACAGGGGCCCATGACAGATTACAGGCCTGTCAGCAGCATGAGGAGTCGGTACGGGGGCCCATGGCAGATTACGGGCCTGGCAGATGACGATGAGGCTGCCAAGTGCGATCAGCCTCATCATCATCAATTAGGGTCTCCGCCTCACTACTAGCCCCCTCGGCTGCGTGTGGGTCAGGAGACAGACCTGTCTCTAGACCGGCTACCGAGCCACTCTCCTCGCCAGTACTTCTTCGCCTGGCTGCTGAAGAGGCAGATGTCTCCCCCCGTTCCTGACCGCTCTCTGTTAGCTCTTCCTCACTGTACAGTGGGGCTGAGCCCACAGCATGCGATACTTCGCTTGGTGAGGGAACACCAAAGGACAGGGGCAGGTAGAGGACACATAATTTCAGTGGGCTTGCTCCCGGGCCATGCCAACTAACGGTTGTGTCTGACGTACCCACCGACCGTTGGCTGTAGGTGTCAGAGGTGACCTGGGAAGAGGAAGACGACCGAGCCAACCAATCGATGACGGCAGGGTTGTCGGTGGAGACACGACCGCTGGATGACACCGGGAGCACTGGCCTCTGGCTGCGACTAGTGCTGCCTCGACCCCTTCCTCTGCTGCCACGTCTGCTCGCTCCTGAAACATTGCCTCCTCTGCCACTCCTCTGCGTGTTGTCTGACATACTCTTTAATTCAACGATTCTGTGTCGTCCCTGAGTAACAATTCTGTGTCCCTGAGTAACAATTCTGTGTCCCTCAGTAACGATTCTGTATCCCTCAGTAACAATTCTGTGTCCCTGAGTAACAATTCTGTGTCCCTGAGTAACAATTCTGTGTCCCTCAGTAATGATTCTGTGTCCCTCAGTAACAATTCTGTGTCCCTGAGTAACAATTCTGTGTCCCTGAGTAACAATTCTGTGTCTGTCCCTGAGTAAATATTCTGTGTCCCTGAGTAACAATTCTGTGTCCCTGAGTAACAATTCTGTGTCTTTCCCTGAGTAACAATTCTGTGTCCCTGAGTAACAATTCTGTGTCCCTCAGTAACAATTCTGTGTCCCTGAGTAACAATTCTGTGTCCCTCAGTAACAATTCTGTGTCCCTCAGTAACAATTCTGTGTCCCTGAGTAACAATTCTGTGTCTGTCCCTGAGTAACAATTCTGTGTCCCTGAGTAACAATTCTGTGTCCCTGAGTAACAATTCCGTGTCCCTGAGTAACAATTCTGTGTCCCTGAGTAACAATTCTGTGTCTGTCTCTGAGTAACAATTCTGTGTCGCTCAGTAACAATTCTGTGTCCCTGAGTAACAATTCTGTGTCCCTGAGTAACAATTCTGTGTCCCTCAGTAACAATTCTGTGTCCCTGAGTAACAATTCTGTGTCCCTGAGTAACAATTCTGTGTCTGTCCCTGAGTAACAATTCTGTGTCCCTCAGTAACAATTCTGTGTCCCTGAGTAACAATTCTGTGTCTGTCCGTGAGTAACAATTCTGTGTCCTTGAGTAACAATTCTGTGTCCCTGAGTAACAATTCTGTGTCCCTGAGTAACAATTCTGTGTCCCTCAGTAACAATTCTGTGTCCCTGAGTAACAATTCTGTGTCCCTGAGTAACAATTCTCTGTCTGTCCCTGAGTAACAATTCTGTGTCCCTGAGTAACAATTCTGTGTCCCTCAGTAACAATTCTGTGTCCCTGAGTAACAATTCTGTGTCCCTCAGTAACAATTCTGTGTCCCTCAGTAACAATTCTGTGTCCCTCAGTAACAATTCTGTGTCTGTCCCTGAGTAACAATTCTGTGTCCCTGAGTAACAATTCTGTGTCCCTCAGTAACAATTTTGTGTCCCTCAGTAACAATTCTGTGTCTGTCCCTGAGTAACAATTCTGTGTCCCTGAGTAACAATTCTGTGTCCCTCAGTAACAATTCTGTGTCCCTCAGTAACAATTCTGTGTCTGTCCCTGAGTAACAATTCTGTGTCCCTGAGTAACAATTCTGTGTCCCTCAGTAACAATTCTGTGTCCCTCAGTAACAATTCTGTGTCTGTCCCTGAGTAACAATTCTGTGTCCCTGAGTAACAATTCTGTGTCCCTCAGTAACAATTCTGTGTGTCCCTCAGTAACAATTCTGTGTCTTTCCCTGAGTAACAATTCTGTGTCCCTGAGTAACAATTCTGTGTCCCTGAGTAACAATTCTTTGTCCCTGAGTAACAATTCTGTGTCCCTCAGTAACAATTCTGTGTGTCCCTCAGTAAAAATTCTGTGTCCCTCAGTAACAATTCTGTGTCTGTCCCTGAGTAACAATTCTGTGTCCCTCAGTAACAATTCTGTGTCCCTCAGTAAAAATTCTGTGTCTGTCCCTGAGTAACAATTCTGTGTCCCTGAGTAACAATTCTGTGTCCCTCAGTAACAATTCTGTGTCTGTCCCTGAGTAACAATTCTGTGTCCCTCAGTAACAATTCTGTGTCCCTCAGTAACAATTCTTTGTCTGTCCCTCAGTAACAATTCTGTGTCCCTGAGTAACAATTCTGTGTCCCTGAGTAACAATTCTGTGTCCCTCAGTAACAATTCTGTGTCTTTCCCTGAGTAACAATTCTGTGTCCCTGAGTAACAATTCTGTGTCCCTGAGTAACAATTCTGTGTCCCTCAGTAACAATTCTGTGTCCCTCAGTAACAATTCTGTGTCTGTCCCTGAATAACAATTCTGTGTCCCTGAGTAACAATTCTGTATCCCTGAGTAACAATTCTGTGTCCCTCAGTAACAATTCTGTGTCCCTGAGTAACAATTCTGTGTCCCTCAGTAACAATTCTGTGTCTGTCCCTGAGTAACAATTCTGTGTCCCTGAGTAACAATTCTGTGTCCCTGAGTAACAATTCTGTGTCCCTCAGTAACAATTCTGTGTCCCTCAGTAACAATTCTGTGTCTGTCCCCGAGTAACAATTCTGTGTCCCTGTGTAACAATTCTTTGTCCCTGAGTAACAATTCTGTGTCCCTCAGTAACAATTCTGTGTCCCTCAGTAACAATTCTGTGTCCCTCAGTAACAATTCTGTGTCTGTCCCTGAGTAACAATTCTGTGTCCCTGAGTAACAATTCTGTGTCCCTGAGTAACAATTCTGTGTCCCTCAGTAACAATTCTGTGTCCCTCAGTAACAATTCTGTGTCTGTCCCTGAGTAACAATTCTGTGTCCCTGATTAACAATTCTGTGTCCCTGAGTAACGATTCTGTGTCCCTAAGTAACGATTCTGTGTCCCTAAGTAACTATTCTGTGGCCCTAAAGTCTCTCTGGCCCTAACTCTGTCCCTAATACAGACAGGTCTGTCTCTCTTGAATGACCGGAGGCTAATGGAGAATTGTAAGATGGCCGCAATTTATAGCTCCACCATTACACAGTGCTGGCTGGCTGGCTGCTGATTGGCTAATGCGATCACATGTCATGAATGAATGCATTATGGGTCAGCGCGCCTTGTCTGCGCGCCTTCCCAGAGATCCCCGCTCCGTCGCCACACATGTCGCCGCCATTTTTGGGAAAATTCGTTTCGTGCATCCGAAGTTGGCTAATTTTCGGATTCGGCGCGAATCGAATATTTCCCAATATTCGAAACGAATTCCACTTCGCCATGTTCGATTCGCTCATCTCTAGCAATGACCCCAGAACTTGAATAAAGTTTACAATGAAGTCAATGACAGCAGAGTATTACAAAACAGTAATGGTTATATTATAGGCTAATAGGCAAGGGATTGTCAAACAAATTGCATGGGAATAGGGTGTGGAGTGGGCACTTTCCTGTGGAACATGTACTAGGGCAAAAAAAATCAATTTGATGTTTTAAGGGCTAAATGAAAATGTAAAATCAATTTAAATAAAATGCCTGAGGGATGCCCTTAACCTCCCAGTGAACTGCCACATCTGTACAATGTAAACAACTTACTAAGGAACACAAATTAAATTTACAAAGAAAAAATGCTATTTAACTTGTTTGCAATTACAGCTCCTGGTCAGTTTCATCTGTTTGTAAAAACAAACACAGCCTGGGATTCCCTTCATGTATATCAGACAGTTATTCTAGATGCAGGTCTGATACAGATGCTAATGGGTGCACCCACTTAAAAAAACATCTTGGAGTTACCCTCAAAAATACATACCAGATTGTTATCTTTGTTGAGGGTCTGGTATAAATGTCAAAGGGGAACCCTATGCTGCAATAAAAAAAAGCATAGGGTTCCCCAAAAAAATCTGTGCCAGACCCTTATCCAACCATGAAGCCAGGAAAGAATGGCCAGAAAAGAGGTGGACATTTATGAATCCCCCTTCTTGAACCATATCGGGCAACATACCCTCAACATGCAGGACACCTTGCAAGGGACACAACCCTGACAAATTGCATTGTCCCCATGTTGATGAGGACCAGGGACTCTTCCACACAACCCCCGCCAAGTAGTTGTAGGAGTGAGGGAGCAGGGTGCTTATCAGAATCTGGAACCCCCATTAAGCAATAAAGGTACCCCTAGTTATCACACCTCCATATGAAAGAGTAAGGGGTACATAGCACCCCTACTCATTCACAAAAAAAGTCAAAAGTAAATAAACATAAATAGGATTGTACTAGATAGTATTGGACAAATCCTTAAAAAAACTCAAAAAAGTCCTACCATGAAAAATTCACCATCATTAACCATTTGCCTCCCACCCTATGGCCGAATTGCGGTCGGCAAATGCTGGCAGATTGCGCTTTGTGTACCTCGGACACGGCCGATGGCAGATCTGAGTATCGTCCCCCGTTGCCGGTACCATGGGACCTGCTGTGACCAATCACAGCAGGTCACATGACAGTTGTATACAGTGGATGGCTTCATTCATGCCATCCATTGTATACTAGTGTCTAGCTGTGAATGGTCACAGCTAATCACATGCACATGTCATGTGATTAGCTGTGGCCAAATCACAGCTAAGCACAAAAAAAAAAAAAAACCCTGAATGAATCAATGTCATTCAGGTAAATGCTTGCTTATAGCAAAGTAATTCTTTGCTATAAGCAAATTGTGTAAAAAAAAAAAAATACTGATCACTTCCCCAAAGTAGTACAATGTTACTATGGTAACATTGTACTACTTTGGTCATAGTGAAAAATGAAAAAAAAAATCTTAAAAAAAGAAAAAAAAATACCACCAAAAGAAAGCTCTAGTTGTGTGAAGAAAATGATAGCATTTTAGTTTGGGTACAATGTTGTATAGCCGCGCAATTGTCATTCAAAGTGTGAGAGCGCTGAAACCTGAAAACTGGCCTGGGCAGGAAGGTGTAAAATTGCCCGGTATTGAATGGGTAACATCATCCAGTGAAGATTCAAAACATGCAGACCACCAACATGTCAAATCCATTTGCTGTGCAAAACTAAACAAAGGGGTGTGGGTCTCCTGATTAAATCATTGACCAAATATGACCATGCAGCTAACCCTGCCCTTTTGTTTTCCTGCCTGGTGTGTGATAGTGCTGGACCAATAGAAGTGAAAATTAGTTCGAGTGTATCTTAAGTAAAATGCTTTTTTTCTCAAGGAAGCAGGCATGTGATTAAAATATTGTATGGATGGACCCCGTTCTGTTCCTATGTTGGTACTTCTGATAGTGAAAGAGAAAGCTCTCATCAGCTGGCAAAATTTTGGATGTGTGCAGAGGAGGCACTAAATGCTGCCAGCTTGTTGAGAGATTCTAGCCCTGAAGAAGGGGGAGACTATTTTTCCTGAAATGTGTTGGATGTATGTGATGCTCTTAACTAGAGATGAGCGAAGTATTCAAAAATTCGATTCGACTGATTCGGCAAATTCGTGGAAAAATTTCGATTCGAGTCGAATATATTCGCTGCGAATTTAACTTATAAAAGGGTGTTTCTAGGCTTCAGAGAGCCTTTATATTAGTGCAGAACACTGTACCTTTAATTTAAATGCCCTTGGAGTCTGCTGGGGAAGAGAAATAATACTGACAGTCAGTATGACATGCAGAAGAGTGCCGTCGATCTTAGAATCACCGCACACTTCACTCATTTGGGCAGTCATGGGGCCAAAACCAGAGTGTGGAGCCACAGTGTGGCGGTGGAGGCAGCAGCAATGGGAGGCCATACAGCACCCTATGACAAAATGGAACCCACCAGCAGTGTGAGGAGACCTGAAAGTGGCACATGGCAGAGTGTGGCGATGGAGACAGCAGCAATGGGAGGCCGTACAGGGACCCATGAGACACTCTGGACCTGGCAGCAGCATGAGGAGGCGGTACGGGGGCCCATGGCAGATTACGGGCCTGGCAGCAGCATGAGGAGTCGGTACGGGGGCCCATGGCAGATTACGGGCCTGGCAGCAGCAATGGGAGGCCTGTAATCTGCCAGCACCCTATGACAAAAAATGGAACACACCAGCAGTGTGTGAGGAGACCTGAAAGTGGCACATGCAAGAGTGTGGCGATGGAGACAGCAGCAATGGGAGGCCGTACAGGGACCCATGACAGACTCTGGACTTGGCAGCAGCATGAGGAGGCGGTATAGGGGCCCATGGCAGATTAGGGGCCTGGCAGCAGCTATGGGAGGCCCGTAATCTGCCAGCACCCTATGACAAAAAATTGAACACACCAGCAGTGTGTGAGGAGACCTGAAAGTGGCACATGGCAGAGTGTGGCGATGGAGACAGCAGCAATGGGAGGCCGTACAGGGACCCATGAGAGACTCTGGACTTGGCAGCAGCATGAGGAGGCGGTATAGGGGCCCATGGCAGATTAGGGGCCTGGCAGCAGCTATGGGAGGCCCGTAATCTGCCAGCACCCTATGACAAAAAATGGAACACACCAGCAGTGTGAGGAGACGTGAAAGTGGCACATGGCAGGGGCATGATTCATGGCGGATTTAGTCAGTTGTGTCAGGAACTGGTGGTTTGAAATCCAGACTAATCCACGCCTGATTCATTTTCACAAACGTGAGTCTCTCCACACTTTGGGTGGACAGTCGTGTCCTCCGCGGAGTTACAATACCTCCTGCCGCACTAAACACGCGCTCCGATGCCACGCTACTGGCCGGGCATGACAGCCTTTCAAGGGCAAATTCAGCTAGTTGGGGCCAAAGGTCAAGTTTCGTTGCCCAGTAGTCAAGGGGATTGTCTACCTCGGTTGGCAGGGTGCTGTCCAAGTAGGCCCAAGCCTGTTGTTTGAGGTCCTGCTCCAGGTCCACCTGATGCTGCTGCTGCTGCGGCTGGTTAGTAGTTTCCTCACTGCGCTGGTGAAGAAAGCTACTCATCATCGACTGCAGACTGAGGCAGCCGCTGCTGGTGGAGCTACCACTGCTCCTACCACCCCACCCCTCCCCTGCTGCCATGACAGCGGAACGCGAGCGCACAGGGCCCACAGTGTCTGAGGATGGACGTTGGCGCACAAAGGCAGAGACCAACTGACTACATAGGTGGTTTTTATAGTACGTTATTTTGGCCTCCCTCTCTGCAGGTGTGAAAAGGGCCACCATTTTTGAACGGTAGCGAGGGTCCAACAAGGTGGACAGCCAAAAGTCATCTCTCTGTCTGATGGTTATTATTCGGCTGTCGCTACGCAAGCAACCGAGCATGCTATGGGCCATTTGTGCCAAGGAATACGAGGGACTCCCTGCCTCCATCTCCACAGCATACTGCCACGGTGCGTCTGGGTCCTCTGTCTCCTCCTCCTCCTCCTCTACCAGATGCTCCTGCTCCTCCACTCCTGTCCGCTGAGTGGAAAAACCACCCATTTCACTCAATAATTCCTGAGCACAAATGTCCTCCTCTACCTCCTCCTCTTCTTCCTGTCCTGCCCCCACAGGGGTCATGTGGCGTTGAGATCTGTGCGCCACGTCTACCAGCCATTGTTAACAGCATTTGTTCCAGGACGTGCAACAGAGGAATGACGTCGTTCATCCCATAGTCCTGCCGACTCACGAATAGCGTGGCCTCCTCAAAGGGCCTGAGCAAGCGGCAGGTGTCACGCATGAGCTGCCAATGGCTGACATCTAAGTTACACAGGGGAGTACCTTTATCCGCTTGTAACATCAGGAAATCGGTGATGGCCTTTTGCTGTTCGTAAAGGAGGTCTAACATGTGTAGGGTTGAATTCCACCTTGTTGCAACGTCGCAGATCAGGCGATGCTGTGGAATTCCGTTCTGCCGCTGCAGCTCAAGGAGGGTGTGCTTTGCGGTGTAGGAATGGCTGAAATGCATGCAAAGTTTACGTGACATTTTAAGGATGTCTTGCAGTGGGATGGTGGATTTTAGGAACCGTTTGACAACCAGATTGAACACGTGAGCCATGCATGGCGCATGGCACAACCTTCCTTGACGCAGAGCAGACACCATGTTCTTTCCGTTGTCGGTCAACATGGTTCCGATTTTCAGTTTGCGCGGAGACAGCCATCTGTCGATTTCTCTGTTCATTACACTGAGAAGTTCCTCCCCTTGTGACTACGTTCGCCAAGGCATACCAGGTGCAGCACAGCGTGACACCGTTGCGCCCTGCACATGTGATATGCCGGTCGGGTAATGGGACTTGGCACGGGGGTGGCGGCTGAGGACACGGTGGAAAGAAGAGGTGGTAGAGGCGGACATCTTTTGTGGACCAAGGACGTGCAAACGTGGAGGCAAAAGCGGCGTGACCTGTCCAAGTTGCTGGTGCGGCTGTGATGGCACCACGTTCACCCAGTGGGCCGTAAATGACATGAACTGTCCCTGACCGTAGTTACAGCTCCACACGTCGGCGCTGCCGTGCACTTTGGCAGAGACCGACATGCTCAAAGACTGGCCCACCATCTCTTCTTCTACATGTGAATGCAGGGCTGGCACTGCCTTTTTGGCGAAGAAATGACGGCTTGGCACTCTCCACCGTGGTGCGGCACAAGCCATCATTTCTCGGAAAGGTGCTGAGTCCACCACTTGGAAAGGGAGGGACTGCAGCACCAGCAACTTGGACAGGAGGACGTTCAGCTTTTGCACCGTCAGGTGCGTGCTCGCAAACTGTTGTCTCTTGGAAACGGATTCCAAGAAAGACTGCTGACGGAATCCGTGAAGAGGAGTAGCAGGAGAAGGAGCATCTGAACGAGCGGAAGATGCCAACGAGCGACAACTCCCCTCAGCAGAGGTGTTGGAGCCTTGACTGGCTGATAGAGGGCGATTGATGTCGGGTGACGGAGCAAGTAATGGAGCGGGTGATGGAGCGGGGGCTGGGGCAGGCAGAACCGCCGTATCTTTATCACGGTTTTCCCAGGCCACCAATGGCGACGCTGCATATGCTGACGCAACGCTGTAGTCCCAACATGGGCCCCCTGGCCACGCTTGACTTTCTGGCCACATAGTCGACATACGGCTACGTTTACTTCCTCGGGCGGCTTGACAAAAAATTGCCACACCGCCGAGTAGGAAACTTTGCCCCCGATACTCCTCACTGGCTGACTGCTGCTTCCTCCGTGCACACCGGCACCACTACTGGCCGTGGTGGTAGGCTGCAGTGGAGCTGGTGCTTTACTCCGTGGCCGTTTGCCTCCACTGACACTGCTGCGACCCTGCTGCCTCCTGGGCAACCCACCGACTGTTTTGCTCGCTGCCAAGCTGCCACCCTCTTCTCCCTGATGATGCGGAAACAATAGCCTGATGACGACGAGGCTGCCAAGTGCGATCAGCCTCATCATCATCAATTAGGGTCTCCGCCTCACTACTAGCCCCCTCGGCTGCGTGTGGGTCAGGAGACAGACCTGTCTCTAGACCGGCTACCGAGCCACTCTCCTCGCCACTACTTCTTCGCCTGGCTGCTGAAGAGGCGGATGTCTCCCCCCGTTCCTGACCGCCCTCTGTTAGCTCTTCCTCACTGTACAGTGGGGCTGAGCCCACAGCATGCGATACTTCGCTTGGTGAGGGAACACCAAAGGACAGGGGCAGGTAGAGGACACGTGATTTCAGTGGGCTTGCTCCCGGGCCATGCCAACTAACGGTTGTGTCTGACGTACCCACCGACCGTTGGCTGTAGGTGTCAGAGGTGACCTGGGAAGAGGAAGACGACCGAGCCAACCAATTGATGACGGCAGGGTTGTCGGTGGAGACACGACCGCTGGATGACACTGGGAGCACTGGCCTCTGGCTGCGAATAGTGCTGCCTCGACCCCTTCCTCTGCTGCCACGTCTGCTCGCTCCTAAAACATTGCCTCCTCTGCCACTCCTCTGCATGTTGTCTCACATACTCTTTAATTAAACGATTCTGTGTCCCTGAGTAACAATTCTGTGTCTGTCCCTGAGTAACAATTCTGTGTCCCTGAGTAACGTTTCTGTGGCCCTAAGTAACAGTTCTGTGGCCCTCAGTAACAATTCTGTGTCCCTCAGTAACAATTCTGTGTCTGTCCCTGAGTAACAATTCTGTGTCTGTCCCTGAGTAACAATTCTGTGTCCCCTGAGTAACAATTCTGTGGCCCTAAGTAACAGTTCTGTGGCCCTCAGTAACAATTCTGTGTCCCTCAGTAACAATTCTGTGTCTGTCCCTGAGTAACAATTCTGTGTCCCTAAGTAACAATTCTGTGTCCCTCAGTAACAATTCTGTGTCCCTCAGTAACAATTCTGTGTCCCTCAGTAACAATTCTGTGTCTGTCCCTGAGTAACAATTCTGTGTCCCTGAGTAACGTTCTGTGGCCCTAGTAACAACTTCTGTGGCCCTCAGTAACAATTCTGTGTCCCTCAGTAACAATTCTGTGTCTGTCCCTGAGTAACAATTCTGTGTCTGTCCCTGAGTAACAATTCTGTGTCCCTCAGTAACAATTCTGTGTCCCCCAGTAACAATTCTGTGTCTGTCCCTGAGTAACAATTCTGTGTCTGTCCCTGAGTAACAATTCTGTGTCCCTGAGTAACGTTTCTGTGGCCCCTAAGTAACAGTTCTGTGGCCCTCAGTAACAATTCTGTGTCCCTCAGTAACAATTCTGTGTCTGTCCCTGAGTAACAATTCTGTGTCTGTCCCTGAGTAACAATTCTGTGTCCCTCAGTAACAATTCTGTGTCCCTGAGTAACAATTCTGTGTCCCTCAGTAACAATTCTGTGTCCCTCAGTAACAATTCTGTGTCCCTGAGTAACAATTCTGTGTCTGTCCCTGAGTAACAATTCTGTGTCTGTCCCTGAGTAACAATTCTGTGTCCCTAAGTAACGTTTCTGTTGCCCTAAGTAACGGTTCTGTGGCCGTCAGTAACAGTTCTGTGTCCCTCAGTAACAATTCTGTGTCTCTGTCCCTGAGTAACAATTCTGTGTCCCTAAGTAATGTTTCTGTGTCCCTAAGTAACGTTTCTGTGGCCCTAAGTAACG